GGGCCTGTCTGCTCCTTCGGTTTCCTTTATATGCCTCCAGGTAGATCTTGTACTCACTTCCTTTCTTCAGGCCTTTCAGTACATAACTCTTAGCTGCGGCGTCCAGTTTAATCTCCTGCCATGGGCAAAGTAAATCTCAAAAGTAGGCTCCAGAATCCCGCTGCTCAACTGTTAACTTTGCATGCAATTCCTAACACAAAAACTCCTAACCAACACATACTGTACACTACCACACATGTCAATAGTCCTAACTAGGACTTAAACTGAACATTGCAGTGCAAAGCAACTGGTTCACTTTAATACAGCCTCTCCAGAAGCACACAAATCCTTACATGTTCCTGAAACTGTAGCTTATACTGGGCTCTAGACCCCCTATGGGACAGAGCTGACTGTCCCAGTGCTGTCACTTGGCTCTCAATGCCCAATGCTTGGTTCTCAATGCTTGAGTCACTTGGTTCTGAATGCCCACAACTGGGTAATTCCTTTGCCTACCAGCAATAAATGGAGCAGCAGGGGAGCAAAGGAAGGGTAGGTATATGCTGCTCGGAAAGGGAATTGAACAATCCTGTTGCTTTCTTCTGAATGGACAAAACACAGGTTTGTTTAAGTGTCAAGGCACAATAAATACATATATGTAGTACATCTCTGCAATGTATGGACATTTGTTTTATTCCTTTTAAGACCTTGCAAGTACAAAAAAATAAGTGTGGATCAGCCAGAAATGCCACCAGAAAGTCAGAGCATTTATATGGACAGGGTGCTTTCAGCCCTCCCAGGGATTTTTAATAAACAACTCAATCACTCTCATTCTCAGATCTCTACAATATAAAGGCTAATCATTCTGCAGTTCAGGATAATTATTAGGGGGGCCAAACGGACTCTTTGAGATAGCACTGGAAGTGTGCAGAGGGCACAAGACAGCTCTAAATGTATGACAAAATTAACAGGGTTTTTGTCTGCACTTACCATGCAGACAAAATAAAAAATAAAATAAAAGAATAATGGTACACAGTGTTTACTAGACCAGAATGGAGCAAATATAGCCGGCCATAAACTGGCGGATTTTCGTACGAACTTTAATGTGAAAAATCCCACCAGAACATTTCATAACGCCACCAGAGACTTGATGGAACACTCCAAAAATGTTTTTTTTTAAACTAAATTCTACTGTTGCATGGCCAACTTAAAGCAGAATTCTGGGTAATTTTTTTTATTAACCATTGCAGTGGGGCTGACCCAGCACTGCAAGAGTTAAGTGCTCATTTTGGTCTAGAGCTGAAAAAAACAAAGAAATACTCACCTGATCCTTGGAGCCTGTTACAGCACTCCCTCCAGCCTGTCTCCTATACTGCAGCAATGGTAAGTGCCTCGGCATCCTCATATCCCATACACCGTGTATAAAAGCTGATGACTCAGGGACCACTGCAGCTGAGGGGGAAGAGAGGCTGGAAGGACCGGTATAAGAGCAAGTCGGCTCAGAGTATAACGTTGTTATTTTCCTCCCTAGACCAAAACAAGCATTTAACCCTTGCAGTGCAGGGTAGCCCCACTGCAAGGATTAATAACATTTTCCCTGGAGTCCTTTTTTAAGAGAAGTTAAGTGTTAGAGTTTTCAAACACTTTAAAGACAAGACAGATAATGCTTCCAACATTGCCCAAACCTATCATCTCAAACCATACATCTTTTTTTCCCAAAAATAAAGCCTGTTGGCTGGTGTTTCATAGACGCAGGTGCTGAGTTGTTTATAAAAAGTGGATCAGAAAAAAATCTGCCTGTGTACTAAATGTTAAAAACTCAATAAACCTCTAACAAATTTCAGTCATGTATTTCAGATTCTGCACCGAATGTAACTTCCTCTGAGATCATTATATAGATATTAAAACTGTTTTAAACAAACCGACATTGTATCACCCCATCTGGCATCATTGTGATTACCTCTTACCGCACAGAGTTTTAGATGCTCTGCGATGTTTTGCTCAATCATATTTTATGTGACTGTACATAAAGCCAGCTACATAATAGGAAATAAAACCACTGGGGGTTAAGTAGAGAGCAGCAATATTTGTTTACGTCCATGGGTTTGTTTTGTTTTCCCTCGAAGCCAAGAATAGAACTGTAGTTCCTGACGGTACAGAGGGTTTGGAAGGCAGAATGTCCCATTTTAACTAGTGATTTTATCAGAAAATGAGCGCCATTATAATGCTAAGAGTGAATAGATACAGAATAGTATACAGGAGCCCTGGAATAAAAAAGAAAATGTTTTTTGGTTTGTATATCTTATATTTCACTGATTTTCACTCTGCGGGTTGCAGACACAAAATGATTAGGCGCACATTAAATGAAGAGAATACAGTCAATATTCAGCAATGAGTATTTCCCCCCCTGCCAAAGCACCCTCCCCATGTTGAGGGCATGTGGCCTGCTACAGTGCAGGAGGGGGGAGGCGCACGCTCGTTCTCCCCTTTCCTGCTTTACCAGGCTGCAGCCCGGATCAAGGGTCTAATAAGGGATTTTATGGAGGACCCCACACTTTTTTTTTGGGCGTTGGGGTCCCCCCTGTAAAATTCCTACTAAACCTAAAGTGTTTGCTATAAATTGGGGAGGGACCCTCACGCTTTTTTTTATTGTTTCTCTGGATTGTGAAAAGGTGAAAAAACAAAGTAAACATGTCACTTTTTTTAATGTCACTTTTCTGCATCAACTTTTTGTTGGTAAATATTGTTTAACTCATCCGAAATGAATGAAAATTGCAGATTTGGATGAATCTGAATCCCGAAACAAATTGGCTTTCCGAAAAATTAAATAACAAATATCCAAAAGGAAACAAAACAAATTTTTTGTTGGCTTACATGTCTGTTATTTGCCATAAGGATCATAATTATTAGCCACATTATTATCAGCTCTCACTTATTAGTGAAAAATACCATTGTGAATAATAATTGTTGTAGCTGAGTAAATACGTGTGTATGTGTGTAGACAATGCAGGCTTACCTGGTGCAGAGCAGGATACGTTCCAAGTTTAGTAAGTAAAACACTAAGGGGCTGATTTATAACGTGTTCGCAAAGCGTTTATCTTAGGGCTGTGGAAATTAACGTTTAATTACCCGAGTAATCATTAAAATTTTTGATTGATTAAAATTCTTTTGATCACTAATGAAAACACTCCCCTCTCCGCCAGCTTCTGGGAGTCCCCAGTCGGAGATCCGGTGACGTCACGGACATCGACGTCACCGCACTCCTCCCCCTTCCCCAAGTGGCTCTGTCGGCTAACGAAGGGAAGGCGGGAGGAGTCCGGTGATGTCTATGTCCGTGATGTCACCGGACTCCTCCCCCCTTTCCTTCGTTAGCCGACGGAGCCACTTGGGCCGGTGAGTTTGCCCAAGAAACTTTTTCTGCACGAGCGCCAGCCAAGGCATTGGCCTATACACATACAGCACAGCAAAGAAGTAATAAAATGAACTAGGATCACACTAATCCAGCACATTATTATTCTGAGTTGCCCCACTCAAGTTGCAGCCATATTGAGTGGGGCACGTGAGATTAATAACATGCTGGATTAGTGTGATCCTAGTTCATTTTATTACTTCATTGCTGTGCTGTATGTGTATATGCCAATGTAGTTGGATCTGTATGTCTGTTACAATTAATCTAAATTAATCAATTAATCGATTGTAAAAAATTTGATTCATCGAACACGAAAATTTTAATCAGTACCAGCCCTAGTATATCTGTGCGAACAACATTCACAGCACATTACTGCAACTAGATGGAGCCAGGTTATTCCTATGCTCCTTAGCTCCATCTAGTGGCACAATTGTGCACATTACACATATGCTTTGTAAACACATTATAAATCAGCCCCAAAGTCGAACAGCTCACAGGATTGCATCCTCTGGCTAAAACATTGCTTTTATTTACTTTACATTAACAGTGGGCTTAAAACAGCACATAAGACATATTTCAGTAAAACGGCTTACTTTATGTGTCATCATAGACACATGGTAGTATGTTTTACGGAAACATGTCTAATCTATTGTTTTTTGTCTTTGCTTTTTGCCATGGAATAAAAAATATATATTTTTGGCTATTGCCGAAGAATGGGTTTTGTTTGCTGCTTGACTTTGCTTTTTCTTTCATTATGTCTTTGCTGGTGGCCCCTTTAACTTTGATTCTCCTGTATTACCTGACGGTTGCCATCCTTATCCACGTAGATCAGCTTGTATCCATCAATTTGAGCAATGGGGGGAGTCCATGTTAAGGTGGCTTCGGTCTGTGTAACTTCAGAGGCTTGCAGGTTCTTAGGTGCATCAATATCTAGAAAAGAGTGATTAAATAGATAAAGTTATAACATACTCAACAACTGTTTTCTATTTCCTGAGACCCTGACATGGAAGAGCAGTACTATAAAACACAAGGGAAGATCTATACATCAGATAATTATAACGGCATCTTTGGAACACCAGCTTAAATGAAGCACCGGTCCCTTCAACCACTTGTCCAAGTTTTTCTATCATATTTTATTTATTTATTTTTTCGTAATCCGTGTCTCAGTTGACTAACCCTAGTACCACTAGGATGAATCTCAGGGGATTTGTGAAATGCCCCTACCAAATGCAGCTCACTAAATAGATATCAGTTAAGTAGTTGTTTGCCTTTTTTTCTATTAGCTCATACAGGTTCACATCTGAAGCATGGAGTTCAATAACCTTGCTGCACCTTGATTCTTCAACAAATCCTACCTGTCACGGCTGTTACGGATGCCCTCTTGCTCCTCTTGTTGCCCTTCTCCGCCCATATATTAAAGATGTATTCCATGCCTGGAGTAAGGCCAGCCAATGTAGTTGTTGTCTTATCCTTGCCCACAGTCACTTCCTCACTTTGCCCATCAAGTGCTGAATATGTCAATATATATTTGTCTATCTGAGCGCGTGCAGCCTCCCAGGATAGATTAGCAGTGTCCTCTCCCACATCTATTGCCTTCAAGTTTTTGGGGCCATCAATTCCTGAAAAAAATATATATATTGTTAGACAATCACATAAAACATAAAAAGAATAAACTTTATAAAGTATATTCTTATCACATATCTATCTGTATAACCTCAAACATTTGTTATCCTTACGGAAGAGTATAGTAGATCAAAATGGTGCTAACAGAAACAATAAGATGACATCTCTTTCTTCAGACACTTTTAATAATGCTGACCAGTGTCTCTTATTATGATTATTATTATTATTATTATTATTAACTTATACAAGTCCATTACCTCCCATGGTGCTGTTCAAATAAATAGATGCATACAATATAATGTATATTTAAAAAATTTAATATAAATGTATATTAAATACATTTAATATAATATGAATGTATAAAAACATTCCAGTAATGGGTACCTAACAAATTAACATATACATTAAAAAGACAAAATACAGTAATACCTCGGTTCACAAATGCTTCTGTTCGCGAACAATTCGGTTCGCGAACAGAAAGTTCAGCAAAATTTTGCTCCACATCAGGTGACGAACACGACCGCGGCTATCTTCCCCCCTCTGACATGTGGTCGTGGCTTCCTCTAGTTGAGATCGCGGTCACAGGCAGACCTGTGCACACTTGCTGTGAAGCTTTTTTGTGTGCTTTTTAGCACATATAGGATCTGATTTGGTTCACGATCAATTCTGTTGGCGACCAGAATTGTGGAACGAATTAAGTTCGCGAACCGAGGTACCACTGTATTTAAACAGAGCCTATATGGGCTTTCACCAAGGACAAGCGAAATTGAGATTGTTTATTTTCCCCCAAAATTGTGAGATTTCTGCAAAATGTTTGCCATTTTGGCACAAGTGTTTAAGAGTCAGTGGGTGAGAAAATCTAAAGTAGAACCAAACTCTCACGCAAGAATACTTTTTTGTAGAACATCGCAGGTAAAATAGGATTGCATTTAAAAAAAACATTTCCCCATAATTTGTTCATGTTTATTCTCCCTGTGCTGTGCACATCCCGTAGACCCATTGTATGAACTTCCTGTGGATGTGTGATCTGATGTGTAAATGCTTGTCATGTGAGGCCAACTCAGAAGTGAACAGGAAAAAGTTACAACACTGTAGCTGAGCTAGATTCACACCATTGCTGGCGTTAACATGCATTATGCCGCACGTAAATGTGCACTGCATCAAATAAATGGACAAAGTAACACACCATATCACATCAAAAAAGGTACATTTAGCTAACATGTGGATATTTCTAGCAGTGCACTGCACCACATGTCTGACGGCAAAGTGTGTTGGGGTGCCACTCAGAATTGCATCAGTGCATGTAATTGCATTTCTGTGAACACAATACCGTGAAGTGTTGTCACCCTAGGACGGAACACGTCTGTCGATACAACCTGCTGGTCTGATTTAACTGAATTCATGATACATACAAAAAAAGGTTTCCATTTTTTTTATATAATAGGAACATGTGCAGCAGCATATTTGGTTTAAGGTTTTAGGTTTAAAAATACTTTAAGTTGTTTTTTAAAGAGAACCTCAGTCACAAGCAGCAGAAATAAATATAGAGATAAGGGCTTCTGACAGTTTTATCACACTCATTTTAAGCATATATTTTTGGGCCTCTGACTTTACACGGCCATTCAACAAGCATTTTTAAAAAGGGACCTGTGCCTCTCTAAGGTCTCGTTCACAAGTCGCGCGACAAACGCGTGTTTCCGAAGGCTACTTGGCTGTATCCCAATGGAAACGCGCAACAAAACGGCCCAAAGTAGTACATGTACCTTTTCAGGCGTGGGCCGTTTTGTAGCGCGTTAGGGACGGGCGGAAATACGCCAAGGTGGGAACGAGACCATTGAATACAATGGGATTTATATTTTTGAGCGTTTTATAGAGCGTTCGTCGCGCGTAGAACGCGCTACAAAACGTTCAGGTGTGAACGAGGGCTAATGACAGAGTCCCTTTAAGGATACAGTGGGCTTTAAATGTTTGCCGAGGGTTACTGGAGCAGACAGAATCTGGAGCAGCTGCCATAGAAACCAATCAGCTTCTCTCTTTCATTTTAAAGGAGAACTGTGAGGTGAGTGCTTTTCACTCATCCTCATAGTTCTACCCGACCTGTGACAATGAAACTGTCACAGGTCGGCTCAGTAGATTGGGAAGTGAGCGAACACATAACGGCGTTTGCTCACTTTTCGATCTTGTCACGGCAGAGAGACATGACAGGGGAGGAGCTGGATTTCCCCCTCCCCGCTCCGATCCTCCAGCGCTGACTGGCGGTACGGATGGGGGAGGGGGCGGGTACAGCTGGCTCTGCCTCTAGATAGGCAGAGCCAGCTGTCACTCACGCAGCTGGGCGGATCCAGACATAATTGTTGGGATCCGTTTCAGCTGCAGCGTCTCAGTATACCGCGAGCTGCAGCTCACGGTATACTGCGTCGTCTCAGTATAGCGCGAGCTGTAGCTCACGCTATACTGAGCTTAGGGTGACGGGAGGATGCTAGTTTGTGTCCTCCCGTTACCCTTAGGAGAACTATGGGGGAAAGCCCTAACCCCATAGTTCTCCTTTAATAGCTGAAAGGAGTACTTCAGGTCCACCTCTGTTGATTGACAGCCTGCTATTGGCTATTGCAATTTGAAATGGCCAATAGCAGCCTAGCTATTCATTCCCCTGCTTTCTGTTGTTGTTTTTTTTATTCTGACGATGGCTAAACAGAAAGCAGGGGAATCGCTGGGTGAATAGAACCACCAGTTATCCCGGAAACCTTTCCGGGATAAAATGTTTCCCTCGCGGGCATCAGGGAGCCACTATCTTATAGTTTGACACTCTTGGAATGCCTAGGAGAGTTGGGATGTCTAGTATAAGGTGATGGTGTATGCCTTGTCAAGCTGGAGGCAGTTAGTTTGGAAATGTGAGGGCCAAATCACACTATTGCGTTGCACTACAGTCACCGTATGTGTGCATTTGACACATGCTATTGCACCCCACCAGTGACATGCGGTACGCATTCCCCAGCCTCGCTCCCAACACGTCCCGCCCACCGCCGGATGAAGCCCCACCCCCGTCAGACGAATCCCTGCCCCCTGCCGGATTAAGCCCCACCCCTAACCCGTCCCCAAGCAAGTGTAATGGAAGAAGGGAGAAGACAGGGAGGTGGCTCCCTGTCCCTCACTTGCTCCTCACTGCTGAGGCACTCCGTCCATGACTGGTTACACAGCGGGGAGGATTTCCCTGCTGTGTAACCTGTTAGATGCTGATCTGAATGGAAAAAAAGTTGTCAGCTTCAGACATGAAGCTGACGGCTTTTTCCTCCATAATTCTAGGTGAGGCTCTGCCTCACCTGCCTCCCCTGACCGTTCGTCCCTGCACCGCACGCTAGGTGTGCTGGTACATTGCTTTGCCATTCATTCTGAATAGCAACCCAATGTACCTGCCTGGGTGTGTTGCACTTGTACCACAATAGTGTGCATTGCAGTGAATAAAATAGTGCATGCATCATTTTTTTTTTTTTGCACATAGGGTGCCTTTAGCGCACCACTATGGTATGAACCAGCCATGAGGTCTAAATAAAAGCACAAAATCAAATATTAACCTCTAAGCAATGAGCTGGGGAATCTAGAATTGGGGTGGTATTGACAGTAATTGTTATTGCAGTGTTTTAGCACTTCAAACACATTACAAGAGCAGTTAATGACATTACCCATAGATATCCATGACTATAGATCAAGACAATCGCTTCCACGTCTCTCTCTGCTTTAGATAAGTTATGCTTTTACGCCTTCTGTCTCGTATCGCTTACTGCAAGCTGCCACTTTATTTTCAGACAAATTACCCAAAGTGACATAAAAATGGCGTGTTGTATTCTGGAGCTCATCAATGGCTGTAGAGTACGCAGAGTTGTCAGCTGTACATGATTTGCAGAGACCTTTTAGGAATTTTCGCCTGAGATGTTTTGTCTGAGTTAGCAATCATTTCTTTAATACATAACCAAAGATAAAATACAATTTGTCGGGGGGAAAAAGAAGCTATTGTAATATCCACAAATCACAGATGAAGAAGCAGCCGCAGGCAATGGCCGTGGGGAATATTTTCTATTCTTGCTCACACTCGAATGATCTACCTGTGCAGGATCATGGGAAAATTATATAAAGCTCTAATTATGGTAAATTGAGTGGAATTTCTGATTTTAGTGGCAATGCTTCCAGGATAGGATTAGCCATTTGTAGATGTAAAGTCAATCACAAAAAATCTCATATAAGCTTTTACATGGTAATGTTATTTCAAATGGTATTTCCAATATATTTAAATTTGCAGTTTTCATTATAATAATACCTGGTGATCCCGCCATTAATACTCTTGTTAAGGTACTTCCTGATTTAAAGTGACAATGCTCTGTCCAGGTTAATGCTAGCACTGGGCATGTGCCC